GGTCATGATCTCGCGCTCCATGAGTTCGAGCCCCGTGTGGGGCTCTGTGCTGACAGCTCAGAACCTGGAGCCTGTTTCAGATTCTGTGTCTCCCTCTCTCTCTCTGTCTTTTCCCCATTCATGCTATGTCTCTCTGTCTCAAAAATAAACAAACGTTAAAAAAATTTTTTAAAGGATTGAGGGGGTGCTATTTCTCCTTTCCTGACTATTAATCATAGTTGTAGGACCAAGCATGGAAAAGATAATTATTTCAGAGAATTATGCCTAAATGTGATTTAAAAATCATTCAGAACTCTGACTTGCTGAAATGTTTTAAAATTTTATCAAGCAATGAAATAATCCATCATTGGATGTTTTTACAGCTTACTCTGGCTTGTTCTCGAAGTTCGTCCACAATTAAGCGATCAACTCGAGATGGGTTGGAGGTCAGCCTTGGAATTGGAGTGTTGTTAGTACTGGATACTTTTTTTCCTGGGTAATTCTTGGCCAGGGCCAATTCAGTCTGTAAAAAATTATATAATTTTTAGATGCTGAGTTTTCTAAATATGATTCAGTTATGAGTGACATTTCTCATAGGCCTAATAAATAAATTGAAAATGAGTACTTTAAAATTGTTTCAGTATCAAACAGAACAAACGCAAACCACAACACCACTGTATTTTCTATATTTAATGCATATAAAATACCTGCAAGTCTCCCTGCACCTCATGTGGGACTTGAACTTATAAAACTGATATCAAGAGTCACATGCTCTTCCAACAAAGCCAGCCAGGAGCCCCAAAAGTAGTAAGCTTTTGGCTCATTAAGGAAAAAGTCTACTTCACAGGCAAAAAACCCCCCAACTTTATATAAATAACAATTTTTTAAGCCTCACATTTTTTTAGTTATGTCAGCTAATTCCTTATAGTCATGGACTTAAATACTGCACATTATGGAAGAATTCAGCTTAGAAATAAGGCCAAGTACTCTTGAACTACACTAACAAAATGAAGATAGGCAGAGAGAACATCCCAAATTACTCCTAAATGGATAGATTTGTATTACCTTTTTTCTCTCCTTTTCTAATGCTCTCCATTGTTCATAGCACTCTTCTAGTCGAATATGAAGTTCACTGGCTGGTCCACTACGGGTTTTAATTGGTCTTTGAAATCCAAAAGTTGGCACGAAACCAGAAAACGAATTATCACCATACATCATATCATTAAAATAAGGGTACAAATGGCTTAAGTCATCGTAAGAAAACATATCATAAGAATCCAACAGTGGAACAACTGAATGGCCAAATGGGTGAGTGGATCTTAGGGGAAACCCATTTGAACCAACTTGTTGAAAACTCTGATTATGCCTTAAATCTCCCATCATATAATTATTAGAAAAGCATGATGCCTGTGTGCGATTCACACGGCTATTAATATTGTTGTCTCCACTTCCCTGTCTGTGGCTATTAAAATGACCCTGTGACTCCAACAGATCTTGATACGTATTTTGAGATAAGCCATCTAAGTGCTTTGGACCTTCCTCAGCATCATAATGTCCACTCTGAGACTTAGCTTGAAAATTATGTTTGTTTACATTTTCAATGATCCCATACTGCTGAGTTGCATAGTTATCACAAAATCCATTTGGCTGCTTTATTTTTTTATCAGTAACTGATTCAAAGAGATTTTCTTCTCCAGTCTTTGTCAGTCCTTCCATGTGATTGACAGATTGAATTCTTTCTGCACCATTGTAACTGAAATCAAAACTAGAAAATGCTGAAGGATTTTCTTGGCAATACTTCTGAAATAAACTATTTGGGGTTAAATTTGTGGATGATAGTTGGGGGAAATCTGAAGAATGGTTAGAACCTTTAGAAGCTACACTTAAGTGACTATTTAATTTCATCAAGTTACCTTGATTTCGATAAGGAATAGGAGTGTTATTTTTTGTTTGGACATTCATCCAAGTTGGTCTGTTTAACCTGATACCTCCTGAAGGTGTTGCTGAGTTTGATAATAAATTCACAGATTTAAAATACTCAGAATTTGAGGGGTCAGGTTTAGTAAATTGTTGTTTTTCTGTGACATTAGCAAAATCATTATTAGCTGGACAACCCGCATGAGGTTTTAGTCCATATTCTGATTTTAAGCCAAAATCAGCAGTGAATGCTGCTTCATTTGCCAACTGTTTTTCTGTCAGATGTGGTGTGGTTTTTGGAAATGTGAAATTCTGCTGGTCAGCTATTGTCTCTTCCATTTTTTTCTGATTTGCTGGTTTAACCTGAAATAACTTTGTGTAGGTGTCTGCTTCTATTGTTGGTGTTTCAGGTGTGCCATTGGCTAATTTTTTACTATCCTGGACATTAAAATTTGAACACTTATTAAGCTTAACCTTATTAGGATGAACATATTCTGGGTATCTACAATAATCTGTGTTTTCACTGTATCTATTAAATTGAGAAAGAAACATCTCTGCCCTTTTTTGCTGTAATGGTGCTTCAAGACCTTTAGCACATATTTTCTCTCTTCCATAAGGATAAGTATCAATTCCTGATTCTTTCATGATGTCAGACAGACCAGTCTGTGATGTAAAACAGTTTTTGATAAGTGGAAAATCTTGGAATGTTGTCTTAGCTGTATCATTTGTCTGGATATTGTAACAATTAGAATGATCACTTCGTGAGGGGTACATCCATTGTTCTTCAAGGTCTAACCCAGTAAATCCATGATAAAGTTCATCTATTTTTTGCTGTGGTGTTAGATTACTATTATGCAGGTATTGCTTTTCCACTGCTGACACAGATTCACCACTATAAAAAGCTTGCTGAGAGATGGCTGTATCTATTGGCCTTTTGGTTTCTGTTAAGAGGTCATGGTGATCTGCAAATCTGCTTGTGTTCACTGGCCAAACTGACTTTAAATTGGAGGAGCAGGTCCTAGAACAAGTAAATATATTTAATTACAACTCAGATTTTAAATGACTTTATTTTCTCAGTGGAGAAGGTAGAACAGGTTCTCAAAACATTTATATTGCCTCACTTCCCCATTATCTAATCCTTTCTAACCTTGCCTTATAAATTACCATTACATCCAAATAATTTTCTATCACTTGAAATGTGCCACATACTACATTAATATGCATTTTTATCTTAATATGTCTTCAGTATACTTTCCCAAGAGGCATCAACTGAGGCCTGAGGCTGGGGACTACATGGTCTTGCATGAATTGTTTATCTACAGTAAGCAGAAAACAAAATAAGTTTTTCCTTTAATTAGGTTATTATAGAATACAAAAATGTTGTTGACCACATTTTTTTAAATGAAAAAGATGTACTTTGATAAAACTATTACTAAAATTAAAATATTTTAATTGGTTACACGTGTGCTGCATAGTTCCCTATTTATGAAGTACCCCATTTGGGTAATATGGCCTCCATCCCCGAAAAATCAATCAAAGTGTATTTAAAAAATTTTTACCATAAGAACAAAGTCCATACGTATTTCTGCATACCATCAATGATAGTTTTATTCTTTAGGATAGATGTATAAAAGCTCTTTGGAATTTGTACTCTTTAAGCCAAACTTTAGAACTCAAGGGAAATAGCTCTGAATTATGCAAGAATAACTTTCCAAAGGAAAGTTCTTAATAGCAAATTAAAGTCTGAAACTTCCAATTGTATGGCAAGTACCTCAGCAAAGTCAAGGCTGCTAGAAACAAATATTTGAATTAAGATGCCTATTGTCAGATGATCCCCTATTAAGTAAAAATAAAAGCTAATAAATACAGTAATCTAGTATGTGTGAATTTAAAAGCTTACTATATACCATATAGCTTATATAATATACTAACCCCTCAGCAAAATATGGCTGTGACTTGTCTTGTTCTTCCAAAATGTTAGACACAAGTCCATATAAGTCTGTTTCACTGCCATAGTCATTTCTTTCCGTTTGAATCCTAAAAATAAATGAATATCACATGTAAATTATTTTCCTCATACTGAAATTCAATATATTGATTTCTATTTCCAGACTTCTTATACCATTATTTTTCTATAAAATATCTGGACTGAATTTATCCCATCATTTCAAATAAAGAGGCAACAGAAACTCAAGAATATTTTCCACTTTAGGGGAGCCTAGGTGGCTCAGTCAGTTGAGCGTCTGACTCTTGATTTCTGCTTGGGTTATGATCTTACAGTGGGTTTGGGCCCCGTGTTGGACTATGTGCTGGTGGTATGGAGCATGCTTGTGATTCTCTCTCTCTGCACCTCCCACTTTTTTTTTTTTAAAGAATATTTTCCACTTTAGCATAGTGCCTATGGTACATGTTTCTCCATTTCAAATCCTATGTCTAGTTTGCAATGTATGCTTAACTCTCGTTTCTCCCAAACACATGCTATTCATTTTAAGTTCCAAGATATAAATCTCTGACTTACGATGTTTTAGACACACTTGGCACCACGGCTGCTTCTAAAAGCATATCTGGTCCCATTATACGTTATTCCGTCAACACTTGCTCAGTTTTTTCATTTGTGATTTGGAAACCATACGAATCTGCTACTCTATTTTTGTGACTCTTTAGACCAAATGTTGGATTTAAAAAGTGAAATGTGATATGGTCATCCTAGATACCACAGCAATATTACAGTTGTCACTTAAATCTAACAGATTTGTTGGCTATCCCTAAATCCTTACTAAAGTAACTGGAGCTCTATGTATCTGAAATCCCACCTTGTGACTAATGCTGTCTAAATAATACAAAATGTAAAAACCACAAGGAGATGGAAAATTAGTGCCTATCTATTAATGTCCTGTCTATTTAATGTCCTATCTATTTCAACTAATCTGTTCCTAGAAGTAATATGTTGCTTTAAGTTATAGCTTCTTATTTTCTTGTACTTTATTTCTAACATTTCATAGTGTTAGGACATCTTAGAAATAAAAATACCTTTATATTTGCATAATACTCAAATAGTTCATTGATCTTCATAACATAAGATGGGCAGGTATTAGTAATCATTCAGCTATTGAAGAACGATCATTTGAGATCTTAAGAAACTTGTATTTTACAAGTGTATGTGATTTGTCATACTGTACACCTGCTGAACAAATGGTCTGCCTACAAGTCTAATGCTTTTTCTACTATATCGTGTTGTTTCAAAAAGATTGGATAAGTTTTTTGATATAATAATATATTAGTATATCTCTAAAATAATTCAATGTAATATATACTAAACTACTAATACTTGTTATTGGGAACTGTTAAGGGTTAAGGTGAACTTCCACTTTTTTTTATGATTTCTGTAAAGTCTGAATTTTTTCAATGAACATATATCAACTGAAAAAATATTTTTGTAGAATTATATATTATATAGTCTTTCTAATAAGATCACTATTATACAGAACTCACCAAAATTTCCAAAATTTTAACTTTTTTAAAACTAATCTCTGTACCCAACATGAGGCTCAAACTCATGACCCCAAGATCAAGAGTCACATGCTCCACTGACTGAGCCAGCCAGACACCCCAATTTTTAACATTTTAAAAACATTTTTTAATTAGTAAGATTTTTAAGGAGGGTTCCCGGCAGGCTCAGTTGGTAGAGCATATGACTCTTGATCTCGGGGTCATGAGTTTGAGCCCCACGTTGGGTATAGAGTTTAAAAAGAAGCTTAAAAAAAAAGAACATATAAGATTTTAAAAATAATTATTGTCCAATTAAACTAAAGCTGTATCAGCCTCTATCAACTGCTCCCTTATACATAATTAAAATAAAGGTAGATGTTACTCCTTTAGACTTCTCTTTCCAACAGGCTCCCATAATATCCTATACTTCTTTTTAAACCTCACTATACTTGTTCCCAGCAAGTCGTCACTGTCGTCGTTGTCATTATCATCATCATCATCATCCTCTTTATTGTAAGAGCTATAAAGTTGGAGATAATATTTGCCGTGTTAATTGTAATATCCCTAGTATGAGAGATCTGGCAGAGTTAGGCCTCTAATATTAATGGAATTAAAAAGTAACTAGAGGGGCGCCTGGGTGGCTCAGTCGGTTAAACGGCCGACTTCGGCTCAGGTCATGATCTCGCGGTCTGCGGGTTCGAGCCCCGCGTCGGGCTCTGTGCTGACAGCTCAGAGCCTGGAGCCTGTTTCAGATTCTGTGTCTCCCTCTCTCTGACCCTCCCCTGTTCATGCTCTGTCTCTCCCTGTCTCAAAAATAAATAAAACATTAAAAAAATTTTTTTTAAATAACTAGAAGGGTCTGGGTGGCACAGTCGGTTGGGCGTCATGCTCTTGATTTCACCTCAGGTTATGATGTTGCAGTTTGTGAGATCAAGGCCCTCACTGGGCTCCATGCTGACAACATGGAGCCTGCTTGGGATTCTCTCTCCCTCTCTCTCTGCCCCTTCCCTGCTCGCTCCTTCTCTCTCTCTCTCTCTCTCAAAAATCAATCAATCAATCAATCAATCTTATGTTTGATAAAATCCTGCTTGCTCTACACTTGTGAAGGAAATAATTACTGAAAATTTAGATTAAATTGGATGAAAAATAGATCTAAAAATAACCCATGTATATAAGTCATCTTTAGAAAGAGGAACTTAAGATTTACTCACTAAGGGTTGCCTCTAATGAATAAACAAAAAGTAATGAGCTAAAAATTACAACACAGAACTGCCCAGTGTAGGGTTTCTAAAAGTTTGATAAACATAATATTGTAATGCCATGACATTAAAATGGTGATGTAAGGAATAAAGAGCTAATACAACTGGGTTCCCATGTAATCAAACTTTAAAACTTTTCATTTAGCCTGAAAAATATAATTTATTAACTTACCTGTTCTTTACATTGATCTGGGAATTAGAAGGCTGTTTAGTATCATCTCCATAAGTAGACCATGGTGCATAGAAAAGTGAAGAATCTATAGAACTTGAATATTCTGATGAAGAAAGTGGAGTATAGATCTGCCTTAGATCAACACTGTCTTCACTCTGAAAATTTAAAGACATGTTTGCACATCAAACACATCAAAATTACACAGAATATTAGTGAAATAATGAGATACGAGAGGAAATAACACATGCCTAGGAATTGGGAGACTTAAAATCTAGACTAAGCCACTTAAACTTACTTTCCACTAGGGGTTCATGAATGTTTTCTGTAAATGGCCACAATAAATATTTTAGGGTTTACTGGCTGGTGAGGTCTCTGTCAAAACTTCTCAACTCTGCTGTTCTAGCACCAAAGCAAACCATAGACAATATGTAAAGGGCATAGCTATGTTCCAATAAAATTTTGTTTACAAAATCAGGCACTCAGCAGATTTGATCAGTATTTGTTGCTTATCCCTGGTATGAAATACCCACAATTACTGCACTTATAATTTTTTTTAACAGATGAGTGTTATGTAGACACTAGCAGTGTTATTTTCAAGAAATCATTTACAAAATTCAGTCTTAATGCCCCTAATCTGTGGGGGAAAAAAAGGTGAATGTACATTTATTCATATGGAATTTGCAAAGAAATTCTACATAAAATTATATTCAGTCAACCTTGTGACAAGAGTACTGTGCTATAAAAACAAGGAAACTGAAGCTACAAGTTATTGAGCTGATAGGTGACAAAACTAAACCCAAACTCAAGGCGTTCTTACTCCTACTGTAGGAACTTTTAAAGAATATCTTTTAATTTTCAGCCTAGTTTCTATTTCTAAGAGATATTATGAAAATGATGATATATAAAATTTTATGTCTTCAGAAATTTAAAAGCTATTACTACAATTAGAAGAAAAAAATATAAGCTCATTTTTCTTTTTCTTCTTTCTTCACTCAGATCGAAGTATCAACACTCACTAGGTGTCATTTTTCTTTTTTTGTGAATGGTTCTATAATTTCAGTAAATAAGGTAAAAGTTTGAGTTTTAAGATTTTATTCACTTAAAATACTGCCTCCTTAGGGCATCTGAGTGGCTCAGCTGGTTAAACGTCTGACTCTGGATTTTGGCTCAGGTCATGATCTCACAATTGTGGGATCAAGGCCCATGATGGGCTCTGCCCTGAGCTTGGAGCCTAGTTAAGATTCTCTCTCTTTCCCTCTGCCCCTCTCCCTTGCTCACATGCATGCTCTCTCTCTCTCAAAAATAAGCAAATAAACAAATAAAATATTGCCTCTTTTCAAGAGGGATTGATATGCAGTGAAAATAATTTTAAATACTTAAAATAGAATGAATTTAAATAATAAAGATTAAACTTATTTAGATGTATTTTATTCTGAAAATGCTTCTTTAAAGAGGTCTGAAAGTATACATTCACATATTTTAACTCTCCAAATGAAATCTGAGATGTAATAACTATAAATATCTAGACACAGTAGAAATAGTATTTTCTTATAAATACAGAGGAAATATAATCCTAGATAAAAATATTTTCTAATTGCTTTTACAAAATTTACATAGAGAATACATATTAGATCAAAGTATTCTTAAATTTTTGTTCTTCATAGACATAATTGAAATACAACTCTTTAAACACTAAGTTTCTGGGGCACCTGGGTGGCTCAGTTGGTTAAGCGTCTGACTTTGGCTCGGGTCATGATCTCACGGTTAGTGAGTTCGGGCCCCACGTTGGGCTCTGTGCTGACAGCTTGGAGCCTGGAACCTGCTTTGGATTCTGTGTCTCCCTCTCTCTCTCTGCCCCTCCCCTGCTCACGCTGTTGCTGTCTCTCCCTGTCTCTCTCTCTCTGTCTCAAAAATAAACATTAAAAAAAATTTAAACACTATGCCAACAAAGTATTTACTATACCAATAAAATATGAAAATTAATATCTTCCAATCACCAATCTTTAAAAATGTCAAATACTGGGGCGCCTGGGTGGCGCAGTCGGTTAAGCGTCCGACTTCAGCCAGGTCACGATCTCGCGGTCCGGGAGTTGGAGCCCCACGTCAGGCTCTGGGCTGATGGCTCGGAGCCTGGAGCCTGTTTCCGATTCTGTGTCTCCCTCTCTCTCTGCCCCTCCCCCGTTCATGCTCTGTCTCTCTCTGTCCCAAAAATAAATTAAAAAACGTTGAAAAAAAAATGTCAAATACGTTACAACCATTTGTTTAAATTGCGGTTATGACTGCTATTTGAAAACTACGTTATAACTGTCTTGTATATACATGTATATACATATAATGCTGACTATTCTGAAACTGGGGAAACTGAGGAACCGAAATAATTTTGCTGTGTCACTAAAAACTACTTTCCAGAATTTCTTAGCTAGCAATAACTTTTGCAAAGGCTTTTCTTTGGAATCATTCATAATTTTATTCCTTTAGTTCTGAAATTTTTATCATAGACCCACCTTAACTCTCTTTTAGTGTGAAACATCCAAAGTGACATAAGTAATTGTTCATCTTTTTGAGATAGTGACTTAAAAGAAGTATTTTCAGATTATGTAATATCAAAAATATCAAACAAGATACACAGTATTTGAAACTAAATGCATTTTAGGAGTATTCTTTCAAGTTTGTTTTACATTTTAAAGTAAGATTTGAGTATTAGCAATAAATCCGTTTATAAGATTGATTTCAATTTCATATTCTAGGATAAAACAAACAGCTAAAATAAAACATAATTATATTTTAAATATCTGGGAATTAAATTAAAACATTTATGGGAATGTTTTAAACATTTATGGGAATTAAATTCCCAAATGCTTGGGTTTGGCATAATAATCAGTTTAGATAACTGCAAAATGTATCACTTATATACCCTGAATGTACTTGATTGAAATTAAATTCACGTAAATTCTAGTAGCTGTGAAAACAATATGGAGAGCAGTGGAATGCTGGTCTTGGCAGGAAAAAGACCTAGGGTCCATTTAGGCTTTGTCACTTAAGACATGAATCAAGCTGAGCCTCAGCTTCTCAGTCTGTATAGCAGGTGTAATATTATACAAAGTTGTAGGATTAAATAAAATTATTTATTTTGGACTATTGTTATAATTCAAAGTATAACAATATCAACACTGATGTCCTGGATAAATAATTTCAAATGAAAATGACTTACACTACCCAAAGCCTGGTTTAATATGATTAATAAAACTAAATGTTTTAGATGCAGTAAAAGGTAGCATGTAATCCAAGACCCTGTTAAAGCCAGAAAGCGAAGCAGTAAAGAAAAACTTCACCTTCAAATTAACAAAGGTATGTTTGTGCCGACTTGCACTAAATGTTGCAGCAACAACTATTTTACGGTCTTACTAAGTATGGATTTTCTTACATTTCTGAGGACAAAATGAAAACAAGAATAATGTAAGATCTTGTTTTCAAAGCAAAGTATGGAACTGCGCAGACTCTGTACTGAAATTATTACCGGCTTTTAAACAGAAAGAAAGAATGTTCTTGGCTTTCTGGTCCTAAACTTGGGAGCAATTTCAACACCTTATATGAATGGGCTCCGGGAAACGAGTTTGATTTAGGGAAGAAAAAAAAAATCCTCTAACAAAGGATGGACCTGCGATTTGTAGCAATCATAGAAGGACGTGGAGCCGGTCAGCATCACGCTGTTGAACACGTCCGTTAGCCTACCGCTGGGGTCGGCACCGAGGTTCCAGCAGCGATTCGCGCTTCCACGGAACGCTACCTTGGGCTGCACGAAACGGACAGGGAGGAAGCGGGAGAGGCATCACGCAGTGCAAAGGCAGGGCCGAAACGACGGACGGCTGGGGCACCGCCGTAGTTGTCGCCACTCCACTCGGAATCCGCTCTGAGGACACCGATCCCGATCCCGGGGCTGGTGCCTCTGTCCCCGGGCTTCCCTCTCTGCCTTCGGGCCGCCTGCGGGCCGACCGCAAAGGCGTGGCCCCCGACGGCCGTGACAGGCCCACGCCGCCGGCCATTGCCTCAGCGCCGCCGCCGCCCGACGCGGAGGAGATGGCCGTAGCCCCGGCGTCGCGGCCACCGCGGCCCGGCCCGCCCGTCCTATCAGCCCGCGTCGCGCCCCCCAACCCGAGCCCGGCCCCGACCCAAGCGCCCCTCGCCCGCACCGGCGCCTCGACCGGACGGGGCGTCCCGTCGGGGATCCTCCCCGACGACCTGCACTCTCCAGCGCGGCCGCGGACTCCTCAGAGAACCGCGTCTGGGAACGCTCCCGCTCTCCGCCTCTCCTCACCGTAGCCATCCTCCAAGCTCGACCGCCCCCGGACCCTGACCGTCCCCACCGTTTACCTCAAGTCCCTCCCTCAGGCCTGGGGGGCTAGAGGGCGGGCAGGTGACTCCGCCTCTCACCTCCATGGAGCCCCTCAGCCCCTCCTGGACTAGGTACAGCTCCTGGGGTACGGGGGTGAGGGGGGGGCGTCGAAGCCCGGCTCCCTCAGCCCGCACCCCGCCGCTGCCGCCGCTGTCGCCGCCGCCCCGGGCGCTGCCTGGAGCCAGTCTGTGGGTGAGGGGACCGGAGTGGGGAGGGAGGGGCGGGGGGAGAGGCCGTTACATTGCCTACCCCTGCTCGAGACCCAGCACGCGACCCTGCACCAGCCCGCCCCGCCCCCTCCCTCCTAGGAGGCCCGCCCCTCGTTTCGCACCCTCTCATTGGCCCGCTGCCCAGCCAATAGGCAACCGTCTCCAGGGCCTGTTACCCCACCCCCCCTCCGCCCCTCCACCCAGACAAAGCCTAGAAGGGGCAGTTAACTGACCTCGCTCTCCCGCAGCTTCTGAATCTTTCCCGCTCAAAGTAAACCTGTTCGGGATTGGCTCTGATTGGCAAGCAACAGCTCTATGATTGGCTAATAGGGCAGCGGAGGGGCGGGGCGTGGAAGGTAAGGAAAGAGAGCAGGCCTACCCCGTGGGAGAAGCGGTGGAGGTGGTCGGAAGATTTGAGAAGTCGCTCAGCAACTGGCTGATAATCTAAACCTATCGCTGCGCACCTTGTGCCAACATTTCATTTTTGGCCCTTGGGCCCTTCCCTAACTCCCAGAGTCCTTTGGAACAGCCAAGAGAATAATAGACGTGCCCGTTTACAGAAGGTGAGGAACCCGTATGGAGTTGGGTGTTGTTGGGACACCCCCTTCCCGAGGCCAGAGCTGCCCTCTGTTCTAGGACCCAGGCTACAATCGGGGTGAAGGCGTTTTGGTCTTAACGTAACTCCTGAACATATTTCACTCTGACTTGCGCCAGACAGGCCATTTACGTGGGCAGTCTCATTTGGAGATATGATAGTCTCAGAGAAATGCTAAATGTTGTGTGCGTTGAAATATGGAAGATGAGAAACCTAGAGGCTGCAAACACCTTTAAGGTGCTTATATTTAAAATCAAAACCTGAGAAGCGCTCACTAAGGTGAAAGATGTTCTTTTAATTCAGGAACAAACGGAAATAGTACAGGGGGATAAGTTTTATTGCGCATATTGTCCCAATAGTTATTTTGGATCTCTACCCAGCTTTGATTTAAGAAAGCAGACCAGGAGAGCTGCCTGGGTGTCCATTGAGAGTCGGACTCCATTTCGGCTCAGGTCATGATCCCAGGGTGGCCCTGGGATCCAGCCCCCAAGAGGGTTCTGTGCTGAGCATGGAGCCTGCTTAAGAATCCCTCTCTCTCTCTCTCTCTGCCCCTCTCCCCCATTTGTGCATTCTCTCTCTCTCTCCCTAAAATATAATAAAAATTATATGTATGGGTGTGTGTGTGTATTCTTGTTCTACTTATTTTGAGATAGAGTGTGTGAGTTGGGAGGGGCAGAGAGAGGAGGAGGGAGAGAGAATCCTGCACTATTAGTGCAGAGCTGGATGTGAGGCTTGAGCCCACAAACCGTGACATCATGACTTTTTTTTTTTTTTAACATTTATTTATTTTTAGACAGAGAGAGACAGAGCATGAACAGGGGAGGGGCAGAGAGAGAGAGAGAGAGGGAGACACAGAATCTGAAACAGGCTCCAGGCTCTGAGCTGTCAGCACAGAGCCCGGCAGGGCTCGAACCCACAGACCGCGAGATCATGACCTGGGCCAAGTTTAACCTAATCAGCCACCCAGGTGCCCCATCGTGACATCATGACTTGAGCTGAAGTCCACCGCTTCATCAACTGAGCCACCTAAGCATCCCTAATAAAAAAAAAAATACTAAGAAAGAAAGAAAGAAAGAAAGAAAGAAAGAAAAGCAAGCAAGCTGATCAGGTGAAGTGGCTGTACCAATTAAATTTCTTTCCGTACTTCACCCTTAAAGTGGCTGATGTGCAGCTCATTCTCCCCTTTCATTGACAGCATTCTGTACCCCTCTCCCTCCCCCATTGTACCCAAAAGAATTTTGAACAAGTATGAAACCTCTTATATATCTTCATTATTGTAGTAAGATATACGTAAAATTTACCATTGTAATCATTTTTTAGTGGACAATTCAGTGGCACTAAGTACATTCCTAGTGTGCAGCCATCACTGCTATCCATTTCCAGATAAGTCTCACTATCTCAAACAGAAACTCTGCACTCGATAAACAATAACTCCCCATTTCCTCTCCCGTCAACCCCTGATAACCTCAATTCTAATTTCTGTCACTTGGATTTTGCCTCTTCTAGGTACCTCACCTAGGTGGAATCATACAATATTTGTCCCTTTGTGACTCTTATTCATTAGCAAATGTCAAGGTTCATCAGTGTTGTTGCATGTGTGAGAACTTCATTCCTTTTTATAGCTGAGTAATATTCCACTGTACATGTATACCACATATTGTTCATCCATTTATCAGTTAATGGATACTTGGGATTTTTCTCTTTTTCACTATTGTGAATAATGCCGCTATGAACATTAGTGTATAAGTATCTGATTTCTTGTTTTTTTAATTCTTTTGGGTATTGGGGTGCCTGGGTGGCTCAGTCCATTGAGCATGTGACTCTTGATTTCGGCTCAAGTCATGATCCCCAGTTAGTGAGCTCGAGCCCACGTTGGGCTCTGTGCTGACAGCTCGGAGCGCGCTTGGGGTCCTCTCTCTCCCTCTCTCTCTGCCCCTCCGCCACTCATGCTCACTCTCTCTGTCTCTCTCAAAAATAAATAAATAAACATTAAAAAAAATACTCAAAGGTTATAGGAAAATTTAATATTCCGTTGAACACAAGTGAATACATTATTAAAAGAACACTTTGGTTATGAAGCAGGGCAAGTATTTAGTATGTAAGTAGTTCTTTATTTCAGCTCTTGTATTTCTTTTTTAGAAGGTCTCATTCTTTCTTAAAAAATTTTTTTCAATGTTTATTTTTGAGAGAGAGAGAGAGAGACAGGGCATGAGTGGGGGAGGAGCAGAGAGAGAGGGAGATGCAGAATCTGAAACAGGCTCCAGGCTCTGAGCTGTCAGCACAGAGCTCGATAAGGGGCTCGAACTCACCAGCCGTAAGATCATGACCTCAGCCGAATTTGGACACTTAA